AAAAAAAAGTCTACCTTTACTCCTACTCATCAGTCCTTTCCTATCTCTTATACAATTTTATAAATGATAAAATTTACATTACATAGGTATGTTGGTTTTGGCGCCTACTGGCTATTCTCGATACTCATACTCGCACTATCCTTCAAGTACTATCGCCCAGTGTTTGTCATTCCAAACTTCACGGCATTAGTTCTCGGATGTTTCATGAACCTATTAGCTTTTGGCAAGTTTATATTGATTTTCTGGTAATAGCTGTAAATCTTATTGAAATTTTGATAAAAACCTAACTTTCAGGAGCCATGCTTGGTCGAGTTCTTGATTCATCTAAAAACTATCAAACAAACGATTATGAAGAAGCTGTTCTTTGTCTGATTATGGGCTTGCTCTTGCTTTCGTTCATCGCTTGCCTATTTTTTATTATGTTCATCTTTAACTACCATAAGTTCCTCCGCTTGCGATATGGACACCAAGTTCCACGAGTAAGTCGTTTGGTTGTTCTATTTGTAAAACCTTGAAAGTTTGCTTGTCGACAGTGAAAAATGTGGAGAAAGGCAAAAAACGTATCAAGGTTACTTTCAAACTAGTTTCCGTTTGGCTCAACATCGATGCCTTTTACTTTTATGTGCGTAAAAATACGAACTTTGCTCAAGTTATTTTGCTTCCACAAAAATTTTAAGTCCTAAAAGCTTTTTATTTGATAGCCATTGTATTTATGTTTAATTGTTTATTTTCAGTTTGTCGAATCTCGGCCAAGAACAACCTACAATGGTGAAACTTACTGATATATATTCACGTGAAATATGTAAAGTGCAAATAAAGCTTTCCTTTATACTTGTTCTGTTACCCCTGACAACCTTGACTCTGCCGCAACCTAATAAAAACAGATTGTTTGTAATCAGTCACAGTGCGATGGTTTGCCAGACAATGCTGGCGTTTTCATTTGTCTCTCGTAAGTTTACGTTATACTGATATTTGATCACTTCGCATTAATGGCAATGGTGTCAAACATACCTTTAGTTTCACTCTTATACCTGCATTTCACAAATCGTACAGAGAAACTCTCCCTCTTCCTGCTCTCATTGGTGATTTCCTTCATTGAACCGCAGGACATACAGATACCAAACGCTTCTATCTCATCACATGTGCTTGACATATCTCTCGGTAACCCTGCAGCAGGTGTTACTGTTCTTGCTTATTTTGAAGAGAACAATGGATGGAAGCTTTTGGGTAATAGGTAAGTTAATTTGCATGCCTATAGCTATTTTTGCATATGTAAACAGGACATTTTGTGCGTCGTTTTTTGAAAAGATGAGCTGAATAGGAGTTTTTTATTGCAAGATCACGAAACACTCTGGGAGTTGTTGTAGGGCAAATTTATCTTTATATAAAAATTTTTCATTCAAGTACAACCGGGTCAAATGGACGTGTACCATGGGTAACTCCGAATGTCACTTTGCAAGAAGGAATCTACAAACTAAAATTTATGATAGCTGACTATTACAGTCGTTTGAACATAAAAACGTTTTATCCCTATGCTGAGGTAAGGTTTAGGATGATGAAATACGTACTTTACAGAAGTTTGTATAATTTATTTAACCTTCAGATCGTATTCAATGTAACGGATGCCCAGCAACATTACCACGTTCCGTTGACGCTCAGTCCTTATGGTTACTCCACCTATAGAGGATCGTAAACTGTGCTTTTTGGTAGTTTGCTATAAATATGTGACTACAAGTTTTTGTATGTGAATGAGAATATATGGAATGTTTTGCAAGAAGAATGTTTCTAAAAGTTTATATTTGAAGAATTGAGGTACGATATGACTTATGGATTTATGCATTATATAAAATTATCACTTCGTTTTAGAATTACTATACCTCTTACCTTTGGGTGGCATTTGGCATTAATAAAGACTTAAGAGGAGTAAATGAAAGTATAATACAAACATGTGTGATGAAGGTGCACAATTCTTTACATAGAATCTAAAGTTCTATGGAAACCTCATTCTCAAAATGACTTTTTGCATTTAAATAGAAGTCATTTTGACCCCATAAATATTTTTTATAATATAGCCTCAACATTTTTTGAGATTAAAGTTCTCGCCTTTTCTTGTATCTTTTTGACATGGGTGGTGGAGGCAAAAGTCAAAAGTTTATTCATTATTCTGCGACATCTCCATAAGATCGTCCATAATCCTGGGTATTTGCTGAAGATTCTTTTAGCTGTTTCTGAAAAAATTCACTGAAGTCATTATTTCTATATCTTTATTTCAGAACTTTCAAGACGGAGTTTTTGGACTTAATTCGTTAGAGCAGAACGAATGATGCTCTTATTGCCTCATGATTTAGACTCTTTATGATTCAAAATAAAATTCAATATAGGCATCCCTACAATGTAAGAAATGCCGTAAGAATCCATTTTGAACGTTGATTCTTCGAAAGACAAATGTTTGGTACAATACAGTATCAGTAATTGTTATATAATTATACCTTCAAAGCTGTTTCAACTACACTTGCTGCAAACCCGTCTCCAAATACATTCAACGAGGTCCGTATTCGGTCCCTAAAAGGTATACGCAAGTTTTTGTAACGAAAATACCACAAAGATGCGTTTTTCTAATAAAGCATTCGACTTACAACATCCAGTCTACTGCGAACAGCAATGGCACTTCTGTAGCGGGTAATCCTACTGTATTGAGTATCAAAAAGATTGAAACTAATCCGACTGGTACTGCATTGAGTCCCAGAGACGCAATTGTAGCGGTGAAACTAAAATTACAACATATTAGTCTTGAAATAGCGAAAGGTTGAGTTGAAAGGTTACCTAACGGTGATTATCTGCTCAAAACCTAGTTGTACATTATTCACTTGAGCAATGAAAATTACTGCGACAGCTTCGTAAAGAGCACATCCATCCTTAAAATAATAACACAAAAATTGTTTTTACAAATATTATAATGGTAAAATAATTCAACAGTGAAATTATAGAAATAAAGATTAATAAAGACTCGAATTTCTGTGTAATCATAAGATTTGCTTCAAAGGTTTCAAAATAGCCAGAAATTGTTTATTCATTGTTTTTCTTTTATTTATTTCTAGCCTAAGTGACCATCACGAAGATTATTTTGGTGATAGAAATATGAGCTTGCCATGTTAATGTTGGCACCCAACGGCAGAACAAAACGAGTTACCCGCTCATCTAGGCCACCCAACTGTTCCATACCATTGATGGAAAGCGGTAGAGCGGCTCCACTAAAAATTCAACTTTGAAAAATTTTAACTTTTAGGCACTTCTTCATAATTAGATTTTAAAACTTACGATGATGAAGTGCCTAATGCTGCCATTCCGCCTTCCATAATATATTTGAAGATATTTAGAGGATTTTTACGAGTTAGCATTACGTATAAGGCTGGGATAGTGATGAATGAATGAATGAATAGTCCAATGAGTACTGTTAGGGTGTATCTAAATTGCATTAGCT